TATACTATAATAAAACTGTAGATTATTTGTCTGTTTGTCTGTTTGAAATCACTAATCTCCGGAACTACTGAATGGGGCTTTAACCGGTATATAGAGAGCGACCTCGGACGAAATCTAGGGTATAAACAAATTAGATCTGACAAGGGGGCGTGGCACCTCCCATAGGCGTGACATTTTTAATCAGCTATAACTTCGAAACCGTAAGTCACATGACTTTGAAATTTGGTGTGTTGACATACTACATATATATGGTAGATGCTTATAAATAGTAAAGTACATATTCTTTTGTAAAGGAGCGTGGCACATCCTATAGGAGTGAAATTTTTAATCAGCCATTACTTCGGAATCATACGTCACATGAATTTGTAATTCTCCTCTGAATCGTAAAATATACTTTTGCAAAAAATGGTGCCGATAGATGGCGCCGGAATCGAGATATTTCAAGAACCCGCCTTTATCGTATGACCTGGCTTAACGAGTATTAACTTTATGATAAGAAGTGTTTCTCCAAAATAAATGGACCCAAAACATAGATGGCGCTGAAATCACGATATTTAGATGCCCTTTACAAATTTACATTTTAGGTGACTTAATAAAGCCCCATTCTATTAGTAAGCAAACAGAGAAGCGAAAAATTGATTAGCCTCACAGATATCCTAGGCACATCAACGGGTCATGGGTATATCAGGAAGAAGTGTGCTGAATTAGAGAGAACACGGTAGGAATATCAATGAGCCCGTTTAAACGGGAAAACTCTTTCATCCTGTGGAACAGCAGGATTATAGGAGAAGATTACGCACTCTCGGAAAACCTTACAATACTTGCAGATATCTCACAGGTGGAAATGAAAGCTCATAGCATCGAAGGATATTAGTGCTTGACCCAAATGTTATCTCAGCGCTATTATTCTTGCCTATGAGTAAGCCAGGTTCTGCTCTTCAGTCCTTTCAACCTAAATTAATAATTTTTACATTACAAACCGTTTTTGCATAGCAACACTATTTGAGTATTGGTCAACGCAAAAGTTCTTATAAGGCGTCGCGAAGCAAGCCAGGCATTTGCTAGTACATAATATATGTAGTTAGATCGGTATGACTTCTCGAAAAGGTGGCAAGCCTAATCAAAGATATTTTCAAACTAAATTTTTCATAAATGTCTTTCGATTGGCACTGATATTTCAATATTTTATACAAGTAGCGTATAGTTAACTAAATTCGACTATTCAAACAGTTGGAAATCCTTTTCAAAAGTATTTTCAAACTAAAATCTTCTTAAATCTCTTTCGTCTAACATTATGGTACATATTTCCATTAACTGATGAATTAAGTTGAATGTGGTTTTTCATACACGCGGCAACCCTCCTAAATAAAAGTCTGAAATAAAGCCTTTTCTAACCCATTTTGAATGATACAATATTTTAGAAATTTATCCAACTTTCTAAATAATTTGAACTTATCTTTTTAAACATGTGTCAATCCTCTTCAAACATTATAAATGTTCAAACTAAAAATATCTAAACACTTTTTCATATGACAACCGTACTTTAATATTTGATATAATTTGTATAAAAATTAATTACATTCGAGTTTTTAAATGCGTGGCGATTCTCTTCAAACGTATATTCAAGCTAAACCCTTCCTTATTTCCTTCGTCTGACATTGTGATAAATATTTTAAATAACTGATGAGCTAAGTTGAATTTAATATTCAAACATGTGGCAAAAATATTTTTGGTGTTCAAACTAAAGATTTCTTAACGCTCTTTCGTTTGACACCAATATTTTAATATTTCGAATTTAAATATATTCACTACATTCGACATTTCAAATAGGTGGTAACTCTTTTCAAAATATTTTCAAACTAAAATCTTCTTCAATCTCTTCCGACTGACAGTCAGATTGTGATATATATATATTTCAATTACCTTATCGCCTTAATTTAAGTTGAGTTGGATTTTTTAAACAGTTGGCAACCCTCCTAAATAAATTTCAGAAATAAAGCCTTTTCAAACCCATTTCCACTGATGCCCTCCTTTTAATAACACATCCAACTTTTTAAATACGTGGCAACTCTCTTCAAACATTCTAAATCTGACATTATGATACATATTTTAATTAAATGATGAAATATGTTGAATTTGATATTTCGAATATGTGGCAACCCTCCAAATATAGTTCAGAAATAAAGCCTTGTCAAACCCATCTCGATTGATACCAATATTTTAATATTTCAATTAACTTATTAAATAATTTAAATTTTGCTTTTTAAACAGGTGGATACCCTTTTTAAACCTTTCATAAATATTCTAATGGTGATTTTGTTTCTACCAAAAAATGTTGCCCTTGCACGCTGAAAAATGTGTTTGTGCATGTTTTTGCCTTCTTGTCCTACCTAGCTCACGAATTTCATAATATTATCGTTTTGAGCAACCATCTAATTTTCAGAACAACCATCTCCCCTGATAAAGCTTCAAAGCGCAGAAAAGGTGCCTTTTTTGCATTACACAAGTGTGACATTTTAAGAAACGAACACAAAGTTTTCTCACCTTTTGCCCTTATTTTTAGAAACGAAAACGAAAAGAGAAAGGGGCAATCAAAATGCGAAATTTTTTGATAGAAACGAAATCACTATAAGTGTTAACATTAAAGATTTCTTAACACTATTTTGTTTGAAATATTTTAGTATTTCATTGTGTGTAAGTTAACTGAATTCAATTTTTAAAACAGGTGGCAACCCTCTTCAAAATATTTACAAACTATTACCTTCTTAAACTCTTTTCGCCTGGCGCTCATATGGTGATACATATTATTCATATATGTAATACTCCTATATTGGCAGTAAGAGCTAGTACCGTCCGAAAACACTACAGTACAGATATATCAATAAACACGTACGAAAGAAAAGGAACACATACGTTTATAAATAAACATGTACACGACACATTTACAAAACCGGCACTCAAGTACACATTACATTGACAAAAACAGTACTAGACTGTCTCGCTTTGATTTCGGAATGCTTACACATTGAGATGTTAGCTTACTATCAATATACATATGTACATATATGATATTATTACATATTATTACCTAATATTCAAATGGAATTTGATTTTTTAAACTGTTAAGTTAAAAAACCACGCTATTTAAATAATTTTAACTTAAGTTTAGAAAAGGTGGCAAAAGTAAAACCTTATTGCACATCTACAGCTCAAGCCCTTTAATTTGACACCTCATTTTTGAAAATCGAACGAACGGTGCAGATGTGATAACCTGGACAGAAAATCCCTTCGTGTTATAATATATAGATTAGAACCTTGTTGGCTTGGTATTACATTAATAAAAAATAATTTAGTCGTATGTATAAATTACATGCATACATACAGACTGCGATAAATCGATACAAACGCGACATTTCAACCTACTTTCTTTTGTTTATAATGTTCATAATTTTTAAATAAAAACGTATCCCATTTATAAATAAAACCGCAATAATCCAAATTTAAATCTTTGCAAAAAAATTAGAAAAATCAACAGTTTAATCAAGTTTTCAGCATTTTAATTAGGAATTCGAGAAAAATGTTTGGTATGCAGTTTTATCCCGAAAAATCCGGTTGATATTATACAATTTCTTTTCCTTCCCTTACAAAAATTTCCTGACATACATACATATATACTTTGTATGGTAGGAAATGCAATATGCTTAGCAGGGAAAAACCATCGATAGTGGATAAAAAATATCGATAGTAATGGAAATAAAAAACTATCGATGCTATAGAGTTTGACAACTCTAGTAGGTGGTTAAGGGAATATTTGTACAAATTGCTTTTTATCGAAAAATATTTTCGTAAGTGCAAAATAAATTGTTATTTACTAAAATGTATCACTAGGTAGTTTTTTGTAATTTTTGATTGTAATTAAAAAATTGTGGAAAAAACAAAAATAGTTTATAAATGGTAGAAGTATCAACTAATGCTCTTTAAACACTGGCACTGTTAGAAAATCATTATAAACGCTAAAATAAATATATAAATTGTTAGTTTATGGCTTCAGATTGTTGGTTTATGTTTTTTGCTAGAAATCAATTATTGATTTATAATTCTTTTAACTTTGCTTTCTTGGCCGTTTAGCCTTTTCTCTGGAAAAATTCTGGCAACACTGCATATTGTACTCACCATTCATGCACCGGCAAATTCAGTGTAATACTTTCTTCTGTATCTGTACCATAACGCAAGTAGCCCAGAAAACCGAGCGCCATGTAGATCAAAGTAACACCGGACATGCCCTGACTCAGCACTCCGCAGATTCCGAGGAAGTGACGTGGTTTTTCCATGTTATTCTCCAATGGCATTACAACACCGATTGCCTCCATGGCGAATATGGTGATGGCGAAGAAAGCTGGCAATGTGGAGACTTTCGCGAACTCACGGGTTGTTATCGGAGGCAAATCACTAACCAGATAATAGAAAGTTATTCCCAATCCAAGACCCATAAACAAATTAGCCACCATGGAGACGGGTGCCAGATACTTCAGATTTGGTATCCATGAGAGAAGAATTAAAGGAATCAGCAGTGCTGAGATGAGTAGGCGTAGCGAAATTTCATAGCCTAACCAATATTCCATAACCTGCAAAGGCAATGAAGTAATTAATGTGAGTTAGTATTTGAAAAACATTTAGTGGAAAACAATGCTCCCAGAATGAATTTTTCTCCCTGAGATTCAGAAGCTTCCGATAGAATCGCGAGGCTCCGGGTTTCCCATAAAAATCTCAGGGTTAAGGAAAATGTTTTTGTACTTTTGTTTGTTTAAAAAAATAAAAGCAATTTAATTTTTACTCCAAGGGAAACTTATATGTTGCTCATTTACTTCGATATTGTCATGATCCAAAACAATACAAAATCGAGGTGGTATGTATGCAGAAGTGTCCTTCTATATTGTGTTAAAATTTCATAGCTGTACCGATAACCAGTAGCAACTAGAACAAAATATGTTTTAATTTTTGCCATAGGAGTATGTAAATTCAAAACTTCAAGCTGTTTTTCTCGAGTTTTGGTTTCGTTTTTGAGCTACGACAGTATCACAGTACCCTGGAAACAATTTCAACCCTCAACTGGCTTCCCTTCGCCGATTCCTGTTGCTATTATTTCCGGGGACCTCATTTAACCTTTTACAAAAACAGAGAGCAAAATCCGTCGGGCGCTTTTTTCTGTGGTAACTTTTACTAATTCAAATATAACACAAGCCAACGAAAATTTGAAAAAATTTTGTTTCCTAAAATGTTAAAGCTGTTTTCGATAGCCTTTTTTGTGCTGATTACGAATCTGTAAGTACAAAGTTTCCATCAGTTTTAGATTTTGAGAAAAACGTGGTCAAAATATAAAAAAATCGCGTTTTTTGCAATATTTGAGAAGCTCTAATAAAAAAAAACAAAGGTGACAGAACCTTCCAATTGGGCTTGAATTAAAGTTAAAATTCTCGGCTACTATCCCTGAAAATACCATTCGTGCACCTTGACTTGATGGTCACTTATAGTCATTTGTTGAATAGCAAAAACTGATTTTATCGAAGTTTTTTGTTCAATAAATGACTATAAGTGACCATGACGTCAATGTGCACGAATGGTATTATCAGGGATAGTAGTCGAGAGTCCTAGCTTTAATCCAAGCTCAATTGGAAGGTTTTATCACCTTTTATTATTTTTGTTGGAGCTTTTCAAATATTTCAAAAAACGCGATTTTTTGATATTTTGACCACGTCTTTATCAAAATCTAAAGCTGTTGGAAACTTTATACTTACATATTCGTAATCAGCACAAAAAAGGATATCGAAAACAGCTTTAACATTTTAGAAAACACATTTTTTTTTAATTTTTGTTGGCCTGTGTAAAATTTGAATTAGTAAAAGTTACCATAGAAAAAAGCGCCCGACGGGTTTTGCTCTCTTTTTTGGAAAATGTTCAGTGAGGTCCCCCGAAATAGTAGCAGGAAGAAGGAAAGCAACTTGAGGGTTGAAATTATTTCCAGGGTACCGTGGTATTCAAATAAATTGTAAATATGTACCTGTTTTAACAAATTATTATTTTCGTAATGTGTGTTTATCTAACACAGGGCGCTTTTAAAAAAATGCTTTGTGCCTTTAACCGTGGAAAATCATGCATAGTCGAATCGATGACGCAATGCTTGTTTGCAACTAAAGTTTTGCGTACTTAGCCTAGTAAAGTTGGCTCATTAAAGGCCGTTTTCTAAAGTAACCTTTAACTTTAAAATAAAGCTATGTCTAAAGTTAAGCATTTCTATTATCTGTTTTTGACGTATGTAAGTTTCTTGGTTGTAAACCAATTTAAAACCGATAATAAAGTGCTTTACTTTAGACACAATCATAAATTTTAATACAGCCTTTAAATATAAAGTGAGCTTTGAAGTTGCAGGTTACTTGAGAAAACGGCCCTAAATAGGGGTAAGCTTACAATAATTCAAAAGTTCCCAGTAATTTTTAAAATATTTTTTATTATTCAACATTGTTGATGAATCAATGATTTGCTCCTAAACTACTAATTCGGTTGGAAAATATGGTTTACGTAGAGGGTAATAGATTGTATTGTATTGTAGAGAAATTTAAGATTTGCCGGCTATATAAAAAAAATATGCAATTAAGTGGTGCACTTTTTAACATCTCCGAAAAACCGTAATGTGGATATATCTCAAAAACAATTATAGTTTATGATATTTTGACTTCATATTAAGATTCAGCAGAAAATTTTACATGCATAAGAAGAGAGGGCGTAGTTCCACAGGTTGGATTTCTTGTCAATTAGTGTAATTATCAATTAGATGAATGGTACCTTTTTATTTCATGCAATATTATTTAGTTAAACAGGACTACAATAAGGCGTGGAGTAGGCCTACCGGGGAAAACCACGTTTAAAAACACCCCAAAACAGAATACCCTACAAGTACAGTGTAAATTGTGCATATTATGGAAAATGAAATTTTTTGAATAGCTACATACATATATCTCATAACAAAAATTGTATAACAGTTTTTAAAGATAATTGCATAGTCTACACTTTTGTCCTACCTAGTTTTGTGATAAACCGTACCATTTTGCTGAAAAATGCAAAAATAAATGTATGTGACTTTTGACCTTGAATAGAATTTTTAATAATATTTGCAACATTCGTACCAATTTTCAGCTTTATGCGAATTATTGTAACCATGAATGTTTAACTTGACCGGGCTAAATGAAAAAAGAGACATAATAAACTTTACTTATTCACATTAGTGTTTTTTTTGTATTTCCATTATGTTAACACATAATAATAATATTAATTTGGCGCTTACACTTATGCTTAGTGTTTCGCTCGGCTTCTCCAATTTGTCGTCTTTATCCTGATGTTGTTACACAAATGGAGGGACCCATAGTTTCACGTCGCCTCCGAACGTCAAATAGTTTTTACGAGAAGCCTTTTCATGGCTGAAATATACTCGGAGGTTTGCCATTGCCTGCCTATGGGCGGCCGCTTTTTATAGTTTAGATGATGTTCGGACCAATCTTGCGGTATGGGCATCTTAAAAGGTGGTTGCCTGCTCGGGACAAAAAAAAAAACATTGATTTATTATCTAGGGCAGGGCTGACGAACCTAAGGCACGCGTACCATTGATGGCACGCAACAAAATAATTTGGGCACATTATTAATTGGCCGCTCAATTCCTCAATTACTAGTAGGAGTACAATTATTTTTTTCGTTTAAATTGGAGATCAAAGCAAAATCTACTCACACCCAAGAAAACAGGTCAGAAAAGCCAAAAATACAGACAGTAACCAACAAAATCCACATAAGACATTCGATTCTTGAGTTCTATTGCATCATTCATCGGTAAGCTTTGTGCGCAAAGCATGGCTTCGCCTCCCTTGGTGATATAATGGGCGTAGCTCTCAAAAATAATGAATCTCATATCTTCGCAGGCATTAAATAAACGAAGGTTTGAGGCTTGTACGTGGCTTGCAAAATTGGTGGTTTTTACGGATATGCGCCAGCCAATGATTTGAACGTAAAACTTCAAGGCTCTAATAAAACTGTTATAATTATGATGCATAGATCTCATTCGCGCTTTTTAGGCTAAACTGAAAGTTACTGGTAAAGCACGATCCAGAAAATAAAGGTCGCGCCATTCGCGGACCGCTAACCCTCTCCTCGTCGATTTGACAGAATCCACCCAGTCGCTAAGGTCATAAAATACTTTTGTTTACATTCACTGTTGCCAACTCGATGCTTTTCGCACCAAATTAGTGGGTATTCAAAACGCGAAACTTTTTGAGTTTGGTGCTTGGTGCGTTTTTGGTGCTTTTGTTTTTAGTTTGAAGACACCTTAGAGAATCTTAAAAAAATGGAAGCAAAATTTATAGCAATCGTAAGTGTGTAAGCAACTTTACAAAAATTTTAACAAAATCATAGCACAGTGACAATCATAAGCGACAACAAAATATGTGGCAGCACCTTCAATCATGCCAGAAGAAATCGACCGTCGTGCAAGAAGCATTGGTTTTTATTAATTTGAATCGGCATCCTTATAATAAAATTATGTATGCATATGAAGTCCATAAAATACACCAATAAAAATTTGGTGCTTTTTCAAATTCAAAACTTGGCAATACTGCCTTTTGCTCGATGCTTCCTCTTTTTCTTGACGAGTTCGTCTTGCTCACTCATTCTGGTATTTGTTGACGTCACGGCCGGTTGCTCTCAGCTCGATTGGCGCAATCTTGTATTCTATCATTCTTGCTGGTAAAGATATTGAGGCATATTCATAGTCGAAAAAAAGTCGACTCTAAATTTAGTAGTAGCTTTTTTGGCAGATATTTCATTAATAATTATTAATTATAATTATGTCAAAAAGCTGGAACTAACTTGACTATGAAAATGCCTTATTGTTTGCAAAAATTGCAAATGTTTGCCAAACTTAACAAATTTAAAATCAGATTTTAATTAGTATGAAACACTAGACAGATAAAGAGTCACTAAAAAGTTTTTTTGGTAATAAATTCTCTCACCGACGAATTTTCATCGAGGTTTTTTGAATTCAAGGAGTTATCGGAAACACTCAAATTTATTATGTATCCTGATATGACTTCACTTGATAAACTGAACTTGTTTAAATTTGCTAACATGTACTAAAATTTTGGAAACTTGGAGTTTAATTCCAGACATTTTAGATGTCCGTGGAAGCTGGCGTTTGCACACAAGGTACACAGAGACATGTAAGAGACGCTTAATTATTATTTTTTAATTTTTCCACGATTTAAGTGGAAGAAGTGTCTCGAAGAACGGTAATAAGCAGGGAATGGATTTTTAGGACCTAAAAACCTATAAAAAAGGCAAAATAAAATAACGAAATAGGCTGAAAAAGGCAAAATAAAATAGCGAAAAAGCAGGAAAAGGCACTAGGTATTGCAAAAAAGGCAAAAAAAGGCAAAACAAAATAGCGAAAAAGGCAGGAAAAGGCAGTAGGTATTGCAAAAAAAGCAAAATAAGGCACTAAAAAGAGACAGAAAATACGAAGAACAATCAAAAATACATTTATTTTAGAAATGTTTATATTACAAGTAAACAGAGAAAAACTATGAAATAGTTTCATTATATGAAAAATTTGTACTTTGAATCTTTGACTATTTTATCCTTTCGAGTTTCTAACTCATAAAACTTTAATCTGTATAGTTGTAGTAACATTGAACCACAAGATGCATTTTGAATTTTTCTGGCAGCATTTTATTCGATTTTCGGGAAGAAAAGCCTTGAATGTACTAAATGTGCGCTGGACGTAAGTTGATACAAGTGGAGCCCAATTTAAATATTGAACGTTAGAAACGTTCATATTATCAGGAATAAGGGCGTTTTCCTCGCCTTTTACAATTTTATCCACACCCCTTATTGTCTCCAAGCCTACGTTAGCTGAGAAAACGGCTTTGAATTTTTCCAACACCAATTTGGCAAGAGGTCCCTGCGCTTCTGTAAGCCGCATGGGCATGTGTATATTTTTTTAATCTTAAAAAAAAAAAAATTGTAAATGCTATAATCACCTTTTTAAAGGTAGAAAAGGCAAAAAAAGGCAAATATCTTAAAAAAGGCAAAAAAAGGCAACATCAAATGTGTATATATGGAATCAGGGAAAGCTAAATCGTGGACATTCTTAAACGAATATACTCTATCTCTTTAGCAGAAAAAAAGGCAATTTCCATAAAATCCGTTTCCTGGTAATAAGTCATGACTTCTTTTTGGCACGTCATGGCTACATTGAATAATTCTTTGGAAATAATGGCACGTGTATGTATAAAGACTCGCCGGCTCTGATCTAGGGCGTGGCTAGGAAGGGGCTGAAGGGTAGCTTACGCCTGCTACCGCTTGCAAGACGAAGTCGAATTAAAAAAAAGTAAATATAACACTATGCGACAAAATCAAACTTTTTGGCTCGGTATTGATTAAAACCAAAAAGTGGTAGTTTTACATGTCAATAATACTACGTTAATGGCCTTTTACATCACACTACATTTAAATCTACAATGATCAATTCTCTTGTAGTTTTGAATATCGGCACTTTAATCGAAATTGCTCTTGATGTGATCGAATAATTGCGTTTACCGAATTCGTTATCTGTATTGTTATCCGGATATTTATCGATATATTTATCAACACCGTTCTCGATATAGATATTTTTCGCTTTCATATTTGTATTACATAAAGCGCTCATACGAATCAGGTTACCTTACGACTCAAGTTTTTTTAACACAAGTGTAAACTCATTGCATTTACCTGTTCGAAATTCTTTGCTACAATAACTGTATACACGGAACAGGTTCCGAAGTAGGTCAGGAAGAGTCCGAAAAGTATGGAAAATTTGGCGACTGGTGCAAAACCGCGCGCCCATTTTGGCCCATTTTGGAAGGACACCTCAGCAACTTCAGCGAAACTCATCTGCGTGCGACGCGATTTATAGTAGAGTTTGTGTGCGCATTTCACCTGTAAAAGAAAGTGAACCATATAAATATGTGCATACATACATACACTCAGAAAAAAAAACATTCCTTGATGCTAGGAAAAAAGTATATTATTCTAAGGAATAAACCAAATTTCCAAAACCAATAACTTACTAAAAAATTTTTTATTATAGCTTAAAATTATTGTAACCAATAGAGGTATGTTGTACAAAAACACATAAGAAGAAGTTTACAAAATTGATATAAAACTATTCGTCGATTTAAATAGTTAACTTTTTACTGCGCACATTTCTTTTTTTACCAGGAGGAAGCATCGAAAGCCTAACCCCGTCAGTGGGAGACTCTAACCGAAACTAAACTTCCTACCGTCATGTACCGTTCCCCTCCCGTTACCACCGTCAAGGATTTCGTCGGGATTATAACAATGTGTGACTGCTAAAGTTATATATCTATTATCTTATTCTTCTTCTTCTTCTTCTTATTTGGCACTGTAACCGCCTAAGCGATTTTAATTTCATTTCATTTTCATTTCATTTCATTTCATTTCATTTATTGCGAAAAAACATTAGTACAATAAGATCTACGATCTTTTATAGTACAACAAGTAACAGGAAGTGCCAGAAAAATAAAATAAATAGTAATTCTTAAAACTAAAATTTCTAATAAACCTAAGAATAACAATAATGAATATTCTTAGAACTAAGATTTATAATTAACACAAACTTAACAATAATACAATGATTATCCATATTGGCTGAAAAATATATATTTAGATAGCGAAACACATAATTATGCAAAATATATACGGATGTATATATTTGTTTTAACGAAAGTACGAATATAGAACAAACTTAAAGTTGATTTTATTTAGACTACTGCGAACGGACATTGGAATAGAGTTCCATGTACGAATAGCATTAACAAAGAATAGCCGTGCGGAGGTTTGATAATTATAACTTGGTACTATCAAGTCATTAGTTCGAGCTGACTTTGGGAAAATAAGCTTGTCATATAGATAGCTAGGCTCCTTGTATATAATAAGTCGACAGAGAACAAGTAAGAAAGTCTACGTTCGGGCGGAGCCGAACATTAAATACCCGGCGCAAGTATTAAATATATGTTTTTTCACCTTTCCGAAACCTACCGCTAGATGGTAAGCCGGGGTGTATCAATTTTGAGTAAATTAGCGTCCTTAAATTTCGAAATATTGAAGTTTCAAGCATTTCTGAAATTTACGATCCGATTAGTCCGATTTCAATAATTTTCAACGTTTTGCTTATATGTGGCA